AATGGGTGTGTCTGTGTGTCAGCCTTCTGATAACGGGCAGCATATTCAGCATATATACTTTGCCTCTCACCCTTGACAGCTGGGAGAAGCTTCAGCCTCCTTGTGAGCCTGGATTTGAAAGGCAGTGAAGAAAGGGGAGGGTTGGATCACAACAAACCATTTAGCAAACAACATTCTGTTTTCTTTGTTGCATGTATATTATACTTCATTCCCCAACAAATGGTTTGCATATAGTGCATGATATGAAGGATTACATTTTTATTCTCTTTTTGTTGCGCAATCTCTCATTTCTCATGCAGCTCCATTCAAACTGGAACTAACTGAGTTAAAAAGAAGAAGATTAATGCATGCTCAAAGTGGATTACATGTCTAAAACAAGCCTGCTAATTGATTTATTATAGGAAAAACACACCCATAAAAACATCTGTCCCACCCAGGACACAGCACAGAACTGCAGCACAGGCCTGTTTGTTTTCACTCTCAAATACTCAAAGATATGGGAATGAATTACAAACACGTTTTGGGCTCTCGTGATCCTTGTACAGAGATTCAAATCTTAAAAACAGTGCAGTCGCATTTAGAGCTCCACTTTTGATGATGATTACATGTATCTGGTGGAGAATCTGTCCTGTTCTACCAGAATAAAACCTACAGTGCAAAGACATATACGCATTTTCATGGATGACTGCCATTTTGGAAAGAAATCAATTATATATGCTGTGCAAAATTCTTGAGCCAACCATCCATCTTCTTCCGCTTAGCTGGGATCAGGTCGCAGGGACAGCAGCTGAGGCAGGGTGGAGGGAGACCTCCCTCTCCCCTGTTCGTTCCCAGGCCAGCCGAGAGATATAATCTCTCCAGCGTGTCCTGGCTCTTCCCCGAAGCCTCCTCCCAGTGGGACATGCCCGGAACACCTCACCCAGGAGGCATCCTTGTCCGATGCCCGAACCACCTCAACTGGCTCCATTCGATGTGGAGGAACAACAGCTCTACTCTGAGCCCCTCCCGATGGCTGAACTTCTCACCCTATCTCTAAGGGAGAGGCCAGCCACCATTCGGAGGAAGCTAATTTCTGCCGCTTTTATTCGCGATCTCGTTCTTTCTGTCACTACCCACAGCTCGTGACCATAGGTGAGGGTAGGGGCGTAGGTTAACTGGTACTTTCACGCTCAGCTCTCTCTTTACCACGACAGTACAGCGTCCACATCACTGCACATCTCTGTCAATCTTCTGCTCCCCTCAGTTGTGAACAAGACCCCGAGATGCTTAAACTCCTCACTTGTCCCTGACCCAGAGTGGGCACTCCACCCTTTTCCGGCTGAGGACCATAGCCTCAGACTGGGAGGTGCTGATTCTCATTCCCACCACTTCCCACTCGGCTGTGAACCGCTCCAGTGTGACCTGGAGCCCACCACCTGATAAAGCCAACAGAACCACATCATCTATGAAAAGCAGAAACGAGATTCTGACACCACCCAAGTTGTTACGCCTAGAAATTCAGACCATAAAACTTACGAGTCCAGCGCTTGTTGAGACCAAGCTCTTCCAGCGGGTGTATAAGGATCAAGTGGCCCGTAGTAACCCGCCAACCCTCATTATTTTATACTTAGCTAGGAAAAAGAGAAATATTTACATAATAGAAAATTAGGCAAAAACAGAGTTTATACAATTATAACAAGCCTGAAAGTCAATATTTGGTATGACCATCTTTATTCAACACAGCTTGAACTCTTGTAGGCAAATCTACTTGTAATTTCTTTAAAAGTGGTCTTTAGGAATAGTTCTCCAAGCCACCCGAAGAACACCCAAAATGTATCTTTGGATGTTGGCTGCATTTTTTTGTTTTGCTTTTTTTTGTTGTTGTTCTTTGTCAAGGTGATCCCACTTTACAATAAAGTTGAGTTCCAGGCTCTGGGGAGGCCAATCCATGATTGATATTGTTTACTGGCACATCTTCTTTTGTCCCTGAAAGACACACTCACACCATGTTGAGACACGCCAAGTTTCTGGCTAATAGCTCTTTGGGGCTTATCGTGCTGGTGCAAAAGTACTAACTAAAGTACTAAGCATTGAAAAGAGCTTATCAGTTAATGTTAGATAGCTACCTAAAATCAATACATGCTCATTACATGTCACTGGCATAAGCATGCAGGGGTAGTAGTGACAAAACGAATCAAAATTTATTTCCAGTGTCCTCACTGACCACACAGGTTGTTGTGGTAAAGAAGTATTGGTGACTGTGCTTTATTGGCACAGTTAGAGGAAGTGTGTTTCCATGCAGTATCTGGTGTTTAAATCTAAAATCATTAGCCGTTTCCAGGTCCAAACTTTCAGGTCAGGGACAAATGTAAATCATGGCAGGATGCTGTAAACGGACCAAACTTCAGTCAGGAGAACAACTGAGATAATCCATCCACAATTTGGCTTAACAGAGCAGTTAAAAAACAAACAAAAGAAAGCCTTGTTTTGCTTTCCATGTGGATGTTTCTGTGTGATGTGGCGTGTCACATACAAACAATGACTAATATGGATTTAATATTGTTCAGTACCAGTGTACAAGGCGGCACAGTGGTTAGCACTGTTGCCGCACAGCAAGAAGGTCCTGAGTTCAATTCCAACACCAGGCCGGGGTCTTTCTGTGAGGAGTTTGCATGTTCTCCCCGTGTTTGCGTGGGTTCCCTCCGGGTACTCCGGCTTCCTCCCACCGTCCAAAGACATGCAGCTTGTGGGGATAGGTTAATTGGATAATCCAAATTGCCACTAGGTGTGAATTTGCGAGTGAGTGTGAATGGTTGTCTGTCCTTGTGTGTTAGCCCTGCGACAGACTGGCGACCTGTCTAGGGTGTACCCTGCCTCTCGCCCTATGACAGCTGGGATAGGCTCCAGCGCCCCCCGCGACCCTGAAAAGGATAAGCGGAAGCGAATGGATGGACGAATGGATAGTACAAGTGTATGATTTGATGTTAAAAACACCAAACTTGCAAATCTAGTGGCTCTTAAGCTGTCCACACAGTGGAAATGTATATAAAATTGTGACGGCCTCTTCCTTTAATTGTGATTAATGTTCTCCTCTTTCGGTCACTGCGACCTTCTCTTTTCCTCTGATAAGAATTCTCCCATGTAAGGCCAGGACAGCAGCCGAGTCTCCGAAGGGAAGGGCTGCCCAGCCAAGTGTGAGGGAGATGTAGCGAGATGTGTATCGTTTAATTGGACAGGGCAACCTACTGACCTGGGACTGAGCCAACAGCCAACTCCAAAAGCTTTAGAGCAGCTCAGTGTTTATGATCAGGGGAGAGAGCTAGATGAGCTGAGATGTGGGGGGAGAGGGCACAAGTAAAGAAATGGAGGATATTGAGTTGCCGTTCACAAATGAAATCTGTCTGGCATTTTTATTTTGTCGACTTGTCTTAATGAAAATAAAAATGTTCCATCACAAAACACTCAAAAGTATGACACACTGTGACTGTCTACAAAGCAGCGCAAGGAAGCAATCAAAGAGCTTTTCCCAGAATCACTGAGACTTTTCAGAAGAAAGCAGTCATCCTTTGGTGAATCAGAGGATGGATGTGTCATTGTTGAGTTTAACCTGGAGGTAAGGAAAGAGATGAGGCAGAAAACACAGTCACCGTGAAGCTCAACAGAGACTTTATCTGGTAGAATCTCACCGCCTCACAGTGGTGTTACTGCAGTTACCTAGAATTGCTTTTGAATTAAAAATATATTCATTTATTCAGTGGTTAAACCTGTCATTTTCAGATTTGTAAGGTCAGCGTCATTTACTAAATGTAAGTCTGATCAAGCTTTGCACATCTGGTCACTACATTTCACATCTGTGGGTTGTTCATTACAAAATCATTCAGAAGATTACAATAATCTCTAGTGGAAATCCTGGGTTCAAATATTACATTTCACGTTAATATTACATTACAATTTAGAAACAATCTGAAATAAATTCCAATTTACTTATTTTCACCCTAAAAGGATGTCACTGTTGCTCTTGTTTATGTCGAATTAAGTTCAAGATGTAATTCATAGAAGTCCTAAAAGTGCTTAAAGTGGATGAAGACAGGCTGGGGGATATGGTTGAATAATCCAGAAAAGTACATAAGTCGACTTTGAGTCAGTACAGTTTTGTCAAACAGTGTACCTTCATGCTTGAGCAGGTTGCTGTACTGACGACTGAGTCAGACAAAGTCAGACAGTGTGAGATAAAAGGGTTTAAAAAACAAAATGTTTGTATCTGTGCCAAATAAAATGATCAAAGACTGCAAAAAAAAGAAACTACAAAAAACAAGCATCAATGTCAGTTCTGTCACCATCTTTGTCTGAATTCTAACTTGGTCAGCTCCAATTCTTGAATTACGACTTGCCACCTTCAGAAAGACTTGATCTATTCAAGCAAACAGGTCATCTGAACATATTTAGTTCAGCCTTATTAGTACCTGATATATTCAAGAAATCCATCATCAACAAAATTATCTGTTAAGGCTAAAATTGAATGTACAGTGAGTTGATGCCAGCAGAGAAAAGAAAAGGTTTCATGTGGATTATTTGATGCTAAAGGTCAGCAGCTGAGTGGGAGGTAAGGCGAGGGGAGAGGTGGGACAGCAAGGCGGGCAGTCACCACCTCTCAGAATCTGTGGGAGTTAATATGATACTGTGGGGGTGAGTTGGGGGAGTAGGGTGGGGGGAACGAATGATACTTACTGAATCGGGGGACATTCCTGACCTTGGCTGCTGCCCTCAGGGGTTCAGGGTAGTATGGCAGCTTATTTGTGTATATTATCACTGACCTAAAGACCTCGTCTGTTTGAAGTGTCAGCAGTGCCTTTTCTTCCTCTATCCTCTTTTGTCTTCTCTGTCTCCTGCTCAAACATGTTTGCAACAACATGTACATCTTTACTTCTGCAGCTCTTCATTCATGTGTATCTGATGTGTGAAACAGCAAAGGGCGACGTCACCAAGCGACTGACGGGGTTTGTTTCTCTCTTTGTCTCTAGGAAGCTGACTCTTTGCCAGGCCCTGACCTTTGTCCTGCTGCTGGTCCTTCCCGTGTCCCTGTCCTCCCCGCAGAGTGTAAGCCCAACCCACCCACATCAGCACAAGTCACTGCATGGCCTGAACAGCTCGTCAGCCAAGGCTCCTTTTTAAATGACGTGACTCTGTGGAAGCTTCCTAAGCTGTACTGAGTTGTCATGAGTTTGGTTCTTAAGCTTAACCAAACTGAGGCTGGGATTAACCATCGTTTTCATTTTCATACTTTTATGATGTAGTGGCAAACAGCAGATACACTGAAACATTAGCTTTTCAGTCAAATCATCAGTCTTACGGGCAGAGGCGGAGGCAGACATTTGATACACCTGGGGCTTAGCCCTAAAGGGTAGTATGCATGTGGGATGGGGGGGGGGATTAATAGGCTCTGTTTTGAGTTTTGTTCAAAAGAAAGAATGACTTCATATAAGAAAAAAAATATATTTCACATATGCAAGACACCTTAAACTATTTTTATAATTAAGCAGCGAGGCAGAACAAAGTCAGGGCTGTATCAAGACACACAGACTAAACC